GCCCTGGAAAACTACCATTCACCACCAACATGCTTTTTGTGCTGCACAGCCTCGTAAAATTTTCCTCCTTCAACTAAACCACATAAATCAATTAAGACTTAGTTTGGTAGAACTGACTTGTAATTATAATTTTAAGGTTTTAAGTCCTTTAATATTTTAAAAATATATAAAATATATTTAATATATTTAATATTTATTTTAATTAACAATTTATAATCCCAATAAGATGTCTCAACAGTTAAAAATTTAATATTTCAAGTTAAAAATTTTAAATTTAAATTTTAAATCTGATAAAGAAAAATTTAAAAATAAAAAAGAATCTTTTATATAACTCATAATCAGATGTATAAAAAAAAAACTTACATATTTTTTAAATAATAAAAAATATAAAAATTAAAAACTAAACTACCTAGAAACATTCTCAAATTAAGTTTAAATTATCGCAATTGTATCCAGAACACCAAGAGAGAAAAAACTAAAGAATTTAGGCGCAGAAATTAAAGGAGTAAACAAATTAATTCCTTACAACAAAGTCGTAGTGATGAACCCCTGCATCCGCAAGAATCATAAGAAGCATTCCATTCAAAAGCAAAACAGCAAAATGCAGAGACAGAAAACCCATTACTTTTTCTGCTACTCGAAGCAGCCTGGCTGTGTTTAAGTGATATATAGAAGTTAACAACTAGTAATTTGTTTGTTGGACTTATCGAACTTTCTCTATCCCTCCTTTGAATTGGAACTAACGGCTCTACCTCGTACGGGCTTGAAAATTAGTTGGCCACACCCTATTTTCAATTAGCAAAATAGTTATGGTTACATAAAAATAATGTAAGTGTTTTTAGTCTTATTATTAAAAGTAGTTGTCACTTGTAACTGTTAATTTTTTTTAAATGTTGGTTGTACAAAGAAAAATAATTATCATTTCTTTTGTATGTCATGTAATTTAAATTTAAAATTTTTTATTTTCATTAAAAAAAATTACAATAAATTATTTAGATCGTTAACATTGTTAGTTAATAATAAATAAAATTAATAATATTAGTTAACAGTGTAAAATTAATCTATAAACTAATATTTCTAAATACTTTTTTTTTTACATTAAAAATGGACTCAAATATCACACCTCCAAGTCTTAGATGAGAAGTTCTTTAGGATGAAGTATCCACTAGCCCACAAGAACGGTGTCAATATTTTTAAGTACTTTATTAATTATAAGCAAATAAAATTAAATAAAATTTTTTTTATCTTATTTGCACAATGAAAGGTAATTTATTTTTTATTTTACTCTATTCACATGTTATGTGACTCAAATTTAAAATTTTTTATTTTCAATAAAAAACAATAATCACTTAATTATTTAAGTGGTTGCTAAAACTAAATAAATTAAACACACTTATACTCTAATATTTTGGTTGGCCATAACATGACACATTTCCTCCCCTGGAAATAGGGAGAAAGTCTGCTGCATCCCGTGGATACCGCTGATGTGGTAACCTCGGCCAATCACAACATGCCACGTCATCAAAAAAATTCTTTATCTCATTAGCTATGTCAGCCCATTTAACAGTAAAAAATAATGACATGGCCTGCTGTGATTGGCCGGATACCACGTCAGCGGTATCCCCGGAATACAGCAGAATTTTTCGGAAATAGAAGAGACCATCTTCACAGTGGGCCACCATTTAGCAGTCACATGGAATGTCCCAAGAACCCAAATCCCGATCCAAAGAAAACAAAGATGGCCCAAAAATAGATTACATTACATACACTACACTATCTTCCTGTCATTTTGTTTTCCTTAGAGTTTCTCTAAGTTCTCCCATGGCGGATTCTCTCTTCATGTTAACTTAGACCATGCCAATTTCAGAACCCATCAATGGCGCTGCTTCAAAGATGCATTCTTTTACTTCTCATCACCCTAACACATCAATTCTTTCCCTGCACAATTGTTTTTGGATCAGTCACCGACGGAAAACGAGAAGAATCCACAAAGGAACTGGTGCTGAGGCCATTGCCGGATTGGAAACTGCTTGCCCAATTCCATTTCCAGAGCAGACCTCCTCTTTCAGGCTCCAATGGCCGTCGCCACCGCCTTTTCCCCAAAGCCATTTCATAGCTAGTAAGTATGTTTAATTTTTGATGTTTTAGTTGCTTTTATTAGTGCAAGATTTGATAAACTCAGATTGGCTTATTCAAAATGGATAGTCTTTTATTTTGCACTGTTGGTTTTTGATTTATTGAGTTTCTAATTCTGTTATTTGTCTTGGAAATTGAAAGACTGAAGTTGAAATTCTTTTTGTTTATCTTCAGCTATATTTATTACCAAATTCTTGAATGACTGTGTTTTGGGGCGAGAATTCAGGATTGCTTGTTTCTGTTCTGCATTGGATTGATATAGAACTTCATGTTCATGGTTTGAAGATTTGAACTAAATAGTATAATATAAGGGTTTTCTGGTTGTAAACTCTGTCTGATCCTATCAAAATTGCTTTTTTTTTTTTTTTTTGAAAGGCATCCTATCAAAATTGTTAGTGAACCATGAAATCAACTATGATTTAACTTGGTCTTCACAGGGAAAATTGGAATTAGCAGAATAGGCCAATTTCGGATATTCAGCCAACAAGTGGATGATGGATTGGGAATTCTGTTGTTAAATTCAGGTTGTTGTTTAATCATGAACTGTAGTGCATTTTGACAAGGCATGAGAGTCTGACACAAGTAGGGTTGTTTATAATGCCTTCTTGTTTCATTTGACTTCAAAGGATGTTGTGGAACCTTCTTTGTCTCTAGGAATTTTTATAAGCTAACCTTTTTGAATCCATCATTGTCTGACATTCATAAATGTACAAGGAAACAATAGATCTGATCAACTCTTCCAAACTACCTGACATTACTAATTTTTACTTGAAATTTTGAACTGACCATCCTCAGCCTGTCTACCAAAAAGAAACAAAGTTTTGTAAGTTGCAATTGTCACAGTAATTAAAACTATATTTTTTTAATGATAGACATTTAAATATTTGAAAATAATGGATCACTATTAATATTCGTTTGACAGATTCATAAATTTCAAGTCAAGGAAATGGAACTATCTTTCACACAAGGTCACTGGAGATATGAACACTGGGGTGGATTTGACCCCATATTGAGCTGCAATGCAAAGCCCCCTGGAGTTGAGTTATGGGCTGTTTTTGAAGTCTTTTCTGGCTTATTCTGCTCCAGATGGGGTTTCCCACCAGCTTCAAGCAACCTGAGGTATGGCACATTGCCCTGTGAGGCTGTTTGCACTGAGAACCTGGCACCATGGTTAAAGGTGCTTCCTTGTGAAGACAAAGCTGGGCTTTCTGCCTTAATGGACAGACCATCTATTTACAGAGGATTTTATCATTCTCAGCAATTGCATTTGGTCTCAACTGGATCTGGTTTGGATGGGGTGGCAGGCATTACATTAGAACAGACACTAACAGTTCTTCAGCCTAGTGGTCGAACGATCACCATGGTAAATTCTGGTTAAACACATAAGCAACCTAGTTGGTCTATGAGTTTGATTTTTGGCAAAACAGTCATTGGAAGTTGTATTCTTGCCAAGTCTAGAAATATATACCTTCACTTTGACAGGGGCCTAATGACAGGACTGAAGAATTGCCAAAAAGGAAACAAAAACTCTGAGGTGGGTAATATAGCCTCTGTTGATTTTTTGAATCCTGGCTTTGAATTGTCTGTTAATCCCCAGACTGGGCACTTGAAGAAGTAAATGGCTTGCATGGTGAGAGTTCATCAGTTCTGTACAAGTTCTCAATGGAGAAATACAGTGAATCTGAGCCATTTGATCCAAGTTTTACATGGAAAATTCCTGTAGTTTGGTCTTGTCAACAAGAACCATTACATGCTACAAGGTTTTTGATGGGAAGTGGGAATGAAAGGGGGGTGATAGCTGTTTCCGTGAAGCCTACAGAATTGACTGCAGGCTTCCTGGGTGCTAATGCTAATGATGACAGGTGTAAGTGCAAGTTGATGTTTTCCAAGTAGTTCCTTGGTATATTAAGGTCTATTTCCATTCTTTACATTTATTTGTCCATCAACAATCTAAAGCAGCTGCCGAGGTCATAGAGAAGATACACGTCTCACCTTCAAAAGACAAGGCATCACCTGGAGTAATGGAGATGTTACCAAAGCTTCCTTGCAATGTAAAATCTGCCGCTTTAAGCATAGACTTTGATAAGGTATGAATACATTTGATTTGCCATGATCCTTTGAAAGCCCATTTGTTTACATATTCTATCATTGATTTGAATACAGCATAGCTAAGAGGCCTAATATAATGCGTAGAAGTAGGATAAAGCTGGGACATGTCATAGATTTGTTTGAGAAGCTAACGTGATGAATATCACCATATTGGATGGAGAACCTATTACTTTGAGCACGCAAATAGTGATTTTACAATCTACAATATCTTACTTGAAATTTGAATGCGTGCCTTCATCAAAATTTGAACGAAAATCTTGGAAGTAAGTCCCTTTTGGATATGTGACTGGCCAATTTCACTGACAAATTGCCACACGATCCACTGCCCATACATTGAAACCTGCCATTCTCTTTGAGTGATATTATTTTTGCTTGTATTCTGGAAAGATATATTGCAATTAATGACTGCATGCCATCATTCTCCAGTGAGAATAATCTTTCACTTTATTATGTTTCAACTTAACATTCATTCTTTGGTGCAAGTATGAAAAGAGCTATTTTCTCCTATGATATTCTCTGGCTTCAAATAAAGATCACAATGATGTAATTAATTTGCATTTCAATGATTTACTTTGACATGTTATATTGTTCACCTGGTGGCCAAACTTCCTCTCAATCAGATCCCTATGAGTAATGTTTATTAGCTGATTTGCGATTTCAAAATGTCTCAATAAGGTTTTCTGCACATTGATAAGTATCCTGCAGATGCTAATCAAGGATTTGACATCCCATCAGCTGTAATAAGCTTTCCCAACTTCCTTGCAAGCATGATTTTCCCCAGGGATGATTCTTTGAGTGAGTCACCAATGTTATCAAAGTTTCAGGTTTTATTTTCATTCGTTGATTTGAGCCCTTATAAATAATCTTTGTTCTGTCCTTGTTATCTTTTTATCTGGGGTTCTCATGCAGGAAAGGAATCATGTATTGTCTTACACAGAAGTATTACTTATACCCTTGACAACGCCTGATTTTAGCATGCCTTAGCTTTGAATGTAATAATTACATGCATGGTGTTTGCATTATATTTTGGATCATTGGTTAACGTACTGCAAAGGTGTGTTGCTGAGGAGGAAAGACTTCTTAAAAGCAAAGGTAAATTCATCCCCTGAAGTAGGTTATTTCCATTCTCTTTTAGATTGCACTTCTTCTGCAACTCTGAGCTACGAGCATTTTAAATGGTTTTAAATGATTGCATTAATCATGATAATTATAATAGTCATAGCTATGGTGAGTTAGCAAACATTATGAAAATTGTGTTATCATCATCATCAGTCCTTTGTTATTTGGTCCTTGATCCCACATGTCTTAACATGGGACAATATGACGACCCACTAAAAGCATAAAACCAAGCTGCTAAAGGTCCAGATACCCATATTATGTAAAATGGAACATGATCAAACCTGATTTTATTTCTATTCTACTTTTATGCCCTTTGAATCTTTGAAATCTATTTCCTGTTGCTGATATTTGGGCTATTTTTACCATGTTCTGCTTGCAGCTGCCAAGAAAACTAGCCAGCTTCTTCTGCTTCTATCTAAATTGCCTGCGTAAACCATGGGAACCACCCAGTTCTCCCCTAGGTTCATCATCTTACATTAGTTGAAAATTAGTACTCGGAATCATATTAGTGTGGCCGGAATTGCTGTAGTTTGGCAGTACTATTTTTCATGAGTTCTTATTGGATGAGAGATTTAGAAATTTAAGAGATTCTATTTTTTAGTTGGCGGAGTGTCTTTAAACTATCTTGTTTGTATCTCGAGACTAAGTTTTCTTTGATTCGGTAAAAGGTAAATTATCCATTAAGACTAGAGAATTCATAAAAAGTTAACTCTTTCGTTAACCTTCTAAGGAATTGAATCTTAGTCAATAAAGTGGATAGAATCTTAGTCAATAAAGTGGATAGTACCCGTCTTTTTCAATTAAACTACAACTTCTTAGTTGATTTAAGAAAATTTCAAAATGCTGTAATTCAACTATTTCCGTAAGTGCTGTAACAAGAGATTTTGTAATGGGGGTGGATAAATATTTTGAAAATAGATAATTTTGCTAACTCAAAACAACTTCCATGAGTAATCATTTGGATAGATTTAAAGGATTTGTTTGTCACTGTTATTAAAATAAATTATAGATTATAAATTTACATTTTTAAATAAAAGACACTGACAAACAAAGATTTTGATAACCGGAAATGGGATGCTGGGTCACTTTCTTCAATTGATTCTCGAAGAACCCTAGCCACCACAGCCTCCAACTCGTCTCCCGATCTAAAAAGATCTTTCAAAAGCGACTAATGTTGTTTCTCGGAAGTTGGCTTACCACCTGGATGCAGTTTCCGACTGGACCTGAAAACCGCACCGGTAAGTCATGTAATTGATTATTTTTATTTGGTTTAAGTACCATTTTGGTCCCTCGACTTTTGATTTTGGCACCAAAATTGTCCCTTACCTTTAAAAAGTACCAAAATTATCTTCAGACTTTCATTTTTGGTACCAAAATGGTCCTTCCGTCAGTTAAATGACAGGTGGCACGTTAAAATGCCAACAAATCAATTCTTTTTTTTTCTTAATCAATGACATGGAAAAACAAAACATATTTTTTTATGAGTTGGCATTTTTAATTAATTTAAAAATAATGATTTTTTTTTTCCATCCACGTAATCTCTTCTTCCTCTTTCACTTTCTCTCTCCTTCACCTTTCCTTTTCCCTTACCTCTGCGAACCCAGATCTGGATTCTCTTCTCTTTCAAACTCTTCATCTTCTTCCTCCTTTCCTCC